TTTTGAGACGGAGTTTCGCTCTTGTTACCCAGGCTGGAGTGCAATGGCGCAATCTCGGCTCACGGCAACCTCCGCCTCCTGGGTTCAGGCAATTCTCCTGCCTCGGCCTCCTTAGTAACTGGGATTACAGGCACGCACCACCATGCCCAGCTAATGTTTTGTATTTTTAGTAGAGACGGGGTTTCACCATGTTGACCAGGATGGTCTCGATCTCTTGACCTTGTGATCCACCCGCCTCGGCCTCCCAAAGTGCTGGGATTACAGGCTTGAGCCACCGCGCCCGGCCTTAATTTATTTTTTAAATGGAGACAGGATTTCACCATGTTGGCCAGGATGGTCTCAATTTCTTGACCTCGGATCTGACTGCCTTGGCCTTCCAAAGTGCTGTGATTACAGGTGTGAGCCACTGCGCCCGGCCAAGGTATATTTAAAAAAAAATTTTTTTTTTGAGATGGAGTTTTGCTCTTGTTGCCCAGGCTGGAGTGCAGTGGGGCGATCTTAGCTTACTGCAACCTCCGCCTCCTGGGTTCAAGCGATTCTCCTGCCTCAGCCTTCTAAGTACCTGGGATTATAGGCGCCCGGCTATATTTTTTGTATTTTTAATAGAGACACCATGCCCAGCAAATTGTTTGTATTTTTAGTAGAGACAGGGTATTGCCATGGTGGCCAAGCTGGTCTCGAACTCTTGGACTCAGGTGATCCACCCACCTTGGTCTCCCAAAGTGCTGGGATTACAGGTATGAGCCACTGGGCCTGGCCTGTCTTTGAGGTTTTTATTTATTTTATTTTATTTAAAGACGGGGTTTCACCATGTTGGTTAGGCTGGTCTTGAACTTCCGACCTCAGGTGATTCGCCCGCCTTGGCCTCCAAAGTGCTTGGATTACAGGCGTGAGTCACCACGCCTGGCCGTCTTTGAGTTTTATGATCTGCCTGTTACTTGGACTGTCACTGCCTTCCTACACCCCAGCCCTTACCAAATCCTCCCCTCTACTTTTCTTCTGGCTACTATTCTCTCCAGACTGACATTTCCAATTTGTGTCCTCCCTGACTTGGTGTCACCAAGAACCCAAATCCCCATTGGGACTTAGGTGGTCTTGTAGCTGCCCTTTGCCCCCAGGATCTGAAGGAAAGCCCTGCAGACTGAAGCCAGAAAGTTTGATATAATCTTGAAAGAACTCAGCACCACAACATATTCCGCAGCAAGGCAGCTACACAGGCCACCCAGGAAGCACCCCCTCCAGCTCCTGCATGCCCCTTGCTCTCTCCAGGAAGTAACCACCCCTGGGATACCAGTGCCTGCGCCATCACCGCAAACTTCACACCACACACCAGGAAATCCATGAGTGCTCCTGCTTTCCTTGTTAGGGCCCAACGGCCAGAAATCTCAACTGCCGCCCTCTAGGCTCAAAAACTGGATTTATCAACAGCTCCAACCACACATCTTTGTTTTGCTTGCTTGTTTTTTTTCGTCGTTTTAATATAGGGTCTCTCTCTGTTGCTCAGGCTGGAGTACAGAAGCATGATCACGGCTCATGGCAGCCTCCACCGCCCAGGCTCAAAGGATTCTCTCACCTCAGCCTCCCCGAGTGGCTGGAACTACAGGCGCATACCACCATGCCCGGCTAATTTTTAAATTTTTTGTAGAGATGGGGATCTCACTATGTTACCCAGGTGGGTTTCAAACTCCTGGTCTCAAGTGATCCTCCCCAGCCTCCAGAAATGCTGGCATTACAGATACGAGTCACCATGCCCGGCCTATTTTTGTTTCCTCATTAAATGCTTGACTGCATCATCCAGCAAAAATCCTTTGCTACCAAGTGTCGAGAGATGGTCCCGCTAGCACCTTATGAACACAGCACTGAACAGAAAATGGATGGGTAACTGCTGAGAGCAAAGAAGCATGTCTCTGCCCTTCTTGCACAGGAGGGCTGCTGACAAACTCTCCCTCCCCATGCTCCAGCCAGGCTCCCGGGAGCCTCCTCCTCCACTGGGCCTCGCCCTGGCCTAGCCAGGCTGGAACAAACACTAACACAGCTCCTAAATGCTCAAGGCCACATTCTTAGAACGATCATAGTGCCCTTTAACGTGCCTGCCTGAGAAACTCAAGGCTGCCACAAGAATTTCCTGTGAATTCTGGCCAATGCCTGAGGATGAGGTCCCGGTCTCCCAGTCTCTGTGGGAGGTTGGGGGCCTGACTTCAGTAAGCCCCAAGGGCAAACCCAGATCAGCTGATTTCACAAGGGCCAACCCTCCCTTCCTGGTTTTGGTGATTTTCGACTTCCCTCACTCTACAGAGTCCCCATCCCTTCCCACTCCCTCACTCTCCCTTTAAACTCCAGGCGGGTCGACATGGAGCCAGCTTTTTCTCAAGTTGTCAGTTGTTACTAAGTAAAAATCTGTTTTTCCTGTATTAACTAGTGTCTCACTGGGTCCTGCAGGGCAGCTCCTATGGACCCTCCAGCTTGGAGGGTCACTTTAAACAATTAAAAGCAACAGGACACAAAAATCCCTGGCTGGAAAAATCCAAAAAGCAGGTCTGTTAGCAGGGCAGGCCTGGAGGGACTTCCCCTTTCTCTAACATTCCCACGTGGTCCTGCACACCACACAGCACCACCCCCTCACCCCCGGGGAGTCCTGGGCCCCTTCCTGGCGGAGCGGCCACTCTCTTGCAGTGGAAGGCCTGCGGTACTCCGAGGCCTCCAACAGGAAGCCTGTTAGAGAGGTCACCAAGACCCTCTGAATCGGGGGCTCCAGAGACCCTCCACCAGGCCCCCTGCAACTCTCCAGCTCTGAGAGTCTGATCTCAGCCCAAGACCAAGTGGGGCCCTCCCCTGTGACTCCGCCACACCCTCATCAGGTCAAGCCCTACTCCAGGGACAGGCTTATCCTCCTGGTCTGGACCCCCAACCCAGTCTTGAAGCGGGATCTCCCACCCCTATCTGGAGCCTCTCACCTTAGCACAGGTCTTCAGCCTCAGACTCCCACAAGGAGTCTGTGGATCCCGCCCCGGTCCAAAGATGCCCAACCAAGGTCCAAATTCCCCACCCCGATCCATAGCTCCTCGACCCGGGTTCGGAGACCACCCCCCCGACCAGAAGTCGGCTCCCTTCACCGAGGTCCGAATTCTTCACTCCCCATCCAGGGCTCCCCACCCCAAGTCAGATCCCTCCCCCCCGGGGCCGAGGAACCCCGCCCAAAGTCAGATCCCTTCGCGTGGGTCGGAATTCCCACAACCTATCCCGAGGTCCCGCCCTAGGTCCGAAGGTCCCCGCCCCAACCCGGCCCCGGTCCGGCCCCCGCCCGGCCACCGCCCCAGTGCGGTCCCAGTGCGGCCCCCGCCCGGCCCCCGCCCGGCCCCCGCCCGGCCCCAGTGCGGCCCCCGTCCGGCCGGCGCGCTCACCTCTGCTGCGGCGGCGCGCGCTGGGACAGGACCCGCCCCGGCGGGCGCAGGCAGCGCGGCGGGCAGCCCCAGCCGCCCGGGAGGCCCCGCGACGATGGCGGCGATGGCGGCGGCGCTGCGGGGACTGGGAGGGCGCTTCCGGTGGCGGACGCCGGCCGTGGCGGGCGGGGTGCGGGGCGCGGCGCAGGGTGCCGTAGGTAGGTTGGGGCCGGGGCGTCCTCGTGGGGGTGTCCGCGCGCCCAGAGCCTGGGTGTCCGCCTGGAGGTGCCCTCGTGAGGATGTCCGCGCGGCTGGGGCGGGGGTGCCCCGTGGGCGTGCTCTCGTGGGGGTGTCCGTGCGGCGGGGGCCAGGGTGTCCCCGTGGGGGTGGCCACGCGGGGGTATCCATGATCTAGTCTTGCGCAGGAGTCCGGGCTGCTTCTAGCCCACAGGCAGCCCCCTTCCTAGATGGGGAAACTGAGGCTGGGTGCCTTGTCTAAGGTCCTGCTGTGCTGGCTGCACCTTTGGTCTCCCATGGCTGGCGCCCCAGTAACAACTACAGTCCTGAAGAGGATGATGTCCCACCTCCTGAGGTCACCAGGCACCGACTCCACTGGCCAGACCTCCCATCTCCTACCTTGTCCCCAGACTCCTAGAGTCTAGAGGCTAGAGGCTGCACAGAGCAAGGGGAGGATACACACTCATCCTCCTGGAGCCCCTGAGGAACAGTTGACCAAATCAGGACCATAATTATAATTGAGCACTCGAAGCAGGGGCTGGGTGCCTGATCACTCAGGAGGGTTCTAACCTCATCCTGTAGGACAGATTCCCCTGGAGCCGGCCAAAGCGCCACCATGTCTGTTATGTGTGGCCAGTTTCATTCCATGCACGACAGCATGGTCCCCGACCATGCAGCAGGGCCTTCGACCCTGCCCTCTGGACAGCTGTGACAGCGAGCAGCTCTCCCCACAGGTGATGAGTGTAGAGGGGTGTAAGGATGGGGTTAGGGCTCCTTCCCAGGGATGGCGACTGTGGGAGGCAGGGTGGCTGGCCCTTGGCCCCCAGTGGACTCGGGAGGGAGGGCTGACAGCATGTGTGAATGGGTAGAGGTGTTGCTATGGAGGTCTTGGGGATCTCCAGGATGGGGGGTGACCCAACAGAGTCCGGGGAGGCAGTCACCACCTCACGGCTTTTCTGAGCCCTGAGACCCTCGGCCAGGGCACTCCATCTTTCAAAGCTTCCTGGCTGCGTGTGTCAGGTTAAATGCACCCACCCATGCTTCCACCTGGTGCTCGTAAAAGACTCATAAACAGGAGCTGCCCCTGTGATCACAAGCTCAGGGCCCTTCAGGTTTCCAGTAACCATGGCCTTGGGCCACAGCATTTGGATTTTAGCTGGGCAAGGAGGTACCCTAAGGGTCCTGTCCCTCACTGGGGCAAGGAGGAACTGATTGGCCTAGAGAAGATGCTGACCCACTACAGCGACTTTGGAGTACAGTTTTTTGTATTTTTTTTAGTAGAGATGGGGTTTCACTATGTTGGCCAAGCTGGTCTTGAACTCCTGACCTCATGATCTGTCTGCCTCAGCCTCCCAAAGTGCTGGGATTACAGATGTGAGCCACTGTGCCTGGCCCAGGGTGCAGTTTTTGTTGTTGTTGTTTGTTTGAAGACAGTCTCACTCTGTCACCCAGGCTGGAGTGCTGTGGTGCTATCATAGCTCACTGCGGCCTTGAACTCCTGGGCTCAACTCACCCTCCAGCGTCAGCCTCCCCGGTAGCTGGGACTACAGGCCCTGCAGTTTCTCCTTTTAGTGCAGGAAGACCTGCTCCGTCCCAGGCTTGGAGGAGGTGGCTGATGTAGCCCCTGAACAGGAGCCAGAGTGACCCTTGCTGCCAGGAAAGAGCTCAAGGTAGCGAAAGCAGCCGCACAGGAAGGCCCCTGAGGTGGCACACACGGTGGCCAGCCCACCTGTGGGTGCACATTTTGGGGAGCCTTCTGCTTGCTTTCACTGGTACAGTGCTCCATTCTTTTGGGCCTTGCTGTGAGCTCTGGGCTCCTGCTCTTTGCTGGCCTGTACCAGGCACTGGGTTCAAAGAGGAGCAGAAAATTATTATAATTGTTATTATTATTAGAGATGGAGTCTCGCTCTGTTGCCAGGCTGGAGCGCAGTGGCGCAATCTCAGCTCAGGGATGGTGGCTGTGGGAGACAGGGTGGCTGGCCCTTGGCCAGCAGTGGACTCGGGAGGGAGGGCTGCAACCTCTGCCTCCCAGGTTCAAGCAATTCTCCGGCCTCAGCCTCCCAAGTAGCTGGGACTACAGGTGTGCGCACTACCACACCCAGCTAATTTTTGCATTTTTAGTAGAGATGGGGCTTCACCATGTTAGCCAGGATGGTCTCGATCTCTTGACCTTGTAATCTGCCTGCCTTGGCCTCCCAAAGTGTTGGGATTATAGGTGTGAACTACCATGCCCAGCCCAGAGCAGAAAATTAATGGACAGTATGTCAGCAGGCGAGGCGAGGCAGACACTTTCTGGGGCCAAGCCCTGCAGGCAGAGAGGGTATACCTGGCCAAAGTGGGTGAGGGGCAAGGTTATGAGGTTTCCCAGGGCACTGGAGCGCACAAGTGTGTCCCCAGGTAATGCCTGCCGCCCGGTAATGCCTGCCGCCCAGCCCTTCCTCCCACAGAGCAGCATCTGCCCTACCCACCTTTGAGGTACTTTGGGGTCCTTCCTCCCCATCAGGCTACCCAGCCCTCCCAAGTGCTTAAAGACAGATTTGCTACACTTGCAAATGACTCCCCTATGCCAGTGTTTATCAGCCCGAGAGGGCTCCTGGGTGTGCACAGGGGGAGAGCAAGCCACCTGAGATAAGCACATCCACACAGCTGCTCATCCTCCCCAACAGCAGATGGGGCACAGTGCCAGGCTGCAGGGCAGGACGACCCAGCGAGGGCCCTGTATGGCAGCAAGAACAGGCGCCTGCCACGGGAGGTAGGGCCTTTCTGGGCAAAGCCTCCAGCCACCAGACAGCAGGAGGAGAGAGATGCTCCTCCATCAGCAGGTGCATGTTCCCCGGGGGACCTGGTGGCAGCTTCTCCCTGATCAGCAGTCCTTGGTGCTCTAGACTTATGTTAAAGCCACCAGAATAATTTACAGCAGTTTAGGCCTTTCCAGAGCTCTTGAGTTGAATTAGGAATTGAGTGTGCTTTAGACTGGCTGCTGGGACCGAGCAGTCAGATGCTGGCTGCCAGGCGAAACCGTGGGAGTGTCTGGGTATGGGGCAGGCTGGCGTGAGGCCATGGCCTGAGTGCCTGGATGCAGCTTCTCAGGCTTTCTCAGCTGCGAGCCAGGGCTCGTCTCGGTTCCAGCTCTTGTCTCCTTTAGGAGTGCAGGTTCTAGACCCCTGTCTGTGGGGCATCGGCAGAGTGGGGGTGCAGAGGGACATGGCACTCCAGGTATATTCTCTGCAGCCTTGCCTGCTTAGGAAGGCGGAGGTGGCTGCAAAGATAGACTCAGCCTTCTCATGACACATGCTGAGCTCTGATGCTGGTGCTGGGCAGGCTGCCCGGCCTTGGATGACAGACCCTGCTCTGATCATGGAACCTCTTGGCCTCGTCTGAAGCAGTGACCAGCTCCAGATGCCCTGGCAGGGTGCTGCTTCTCATCTGGCAGGCTGGTATCTGCAGACGGGCTGAGAGCACTACTTGTTTTATACCCCAGACTCCTGTCATCAGTCCCCACCCTGCGCTCACCCCAACAGACCGATGCCTTTCAATTATTCCCTCCTTCCTTCACCAGGGAGTGGGCTGGTGCTTGTTGTGGGTGTCCCGGCCCTCAGGCCCAGTTCAGTGTGCTTCCCGTCTACTTCCTCCCTCCACTCCCTTCTTCGCTATCCCTCCCGTTTTTGGCAGCCCCTTGCTTGCCTGTCTCGTCAGTAGCTTCCAGAGTAGACACAGATGACAGCTTTTGCAGGCTAAAAAGGCTGAGAGTGGCCCTATGTGCAGTGAGCCACCATGGACGACTGAGGCCAGGTGACACCACAGCCAGCCTGAAAGGAATTCCAGGAATAAAACCTGAGCCCAGGCAGCTGTCCCTGTGCCCAGGTGGCTTCCTTCCTGGGTCACTGCGGCCAGGTGCACAGAGACCCTGGCTGTGTGGACGGGCCAGCTGTGAGCGACAGGGGCTGTTTGTGCTTTTATTCTTGCTCACTTGTGATGGAGGACAGACTTCACAACTGAAAGGCGTGTGGACTCCAAAATGTTTTAGGCCATCTTGGTGGCTCACGCTTGTAGTCCCAGGACCTTGGGAGGCTGAGGTGAGAGGATTGCTTAAGGCTAGGTGTTTGAGACCAGCCTGGGCAACATAGCCAGACCCCGTTTCTACAAAACAAAACAAAAAAATTAGCTGGACATGGTGGTCTGTGCCTATAGTCCCAGCTATTCTGGAGGCTGAGGCTAGAGGATCACTTAAGCCCAGGAGGTAGAGGCTGCAGTGAGCTGTGACTGCCCCACTGTGCTCCTGTCATGGGGGCCCTTCCAGGTCTGTGTCCCAGCCCTGTACTGACCATGTTCCTTCTCACCTTTCGTTGCTCCCCCCAGCAGGGCGGTGGGACTATAATCTTCTGGGTGACAGAGTGAGACCCTGTCTCAAAAATAAACAGAATAAAAAAGAAAATAGCTCTGTGTCTCCATCAGAACACTGGGTAAAGTTTGAGTTCAGAGCAGTTGACCTGGTGTGTGTATGCAGCATGGTTTGCAAAGATGATCACACGCACCCATGACCAACCTCGCCCCCATATGGCTTGATCTCTGGATTTGCACAGACGGTGTGTATGGAGTCACTCTTTCTGCTCTGATGCGTGGTGCCTTGTCATCCCTGACTGTCACAGAATGGAGTCTCCCATCCTGGATAAAATAGATCCCGTACCATGTTTAACCAGAGAGCTTTTAGCCTGTTGGAAATTGTGGGGGCCCTTCTGGGTGTGTGCCCCAGACCCGTGCTGGCTGCATTTCTTCTCACCTCTCATTCCTTCCCTCAGCAGGTCAGCGGGACTACGATCTCCTGGTGATTGGCGGGGGATCTGGCGGCCTGGCTTGTGCCAAGGAAGGTATGAATTCTGTATCCTTTGTGGCAAGGCCTCAAAGCTTTTAGGGCCTCCAGCGAGGGTGGTGCTGTCCAGAAAGCATCCATGAGCAGAATGTGCTGCCTCCCTGCTGGGGTCACCTCAGTGGCCTCTGGGCTGTAGTCTGTTCCCTGCCATGCTCCACCTGTCTACTGCACCCAGTGGCCACGGTGAAGCTTCCACCAGGGCTCACGGTCAGTTCTGCTGGCTGAGTCTTATACTTGGCCTGGCACCCAGCGAGCATTCAGTAAAGATGTTGGGCAAACGGGCTGCACCCAGAGGTATACAGAGATGACACCTTGCAGTCCTCTACTAACCCGCAGGGTGCACAGGCCACCAGCACTTTGCTGGACTCTGCCCTGTATAGGAGTTCCTGGTCTGCTCTGGCAATGTCTAAACATGATAAGGGGACAGATGTGGTGAATGGAGAGGAGAGGGGACGAGAGGGAGGTGAGGCTGAAATGAGAAGGCATTAACCGCGCACTTTGGACCTGAAGCTGCGCTTCTCTGATGTACAGTATTGGGCTTTAGAAGCACAGATGGTGTAAAGGAAATCCACTACTCTTGCTCCGGGGGGCTGGGGAGTGGGTAGGAACCTGAGAAGTCTCCTGGCTGATTGGGGATCAGCACCATACTGGACCCTGAGAGCCACTCCCAGAAACGGATGGCATAGGCGGCGACAAGGCCTGGTGCTGTTCTTTACAGCAGACCAGGCGCCTGGGCAGTGAATTCACTCCCATGCTGTAGCTGCAGAGACCTGAGTCCCCTTTAATCCAGAATATGGGCAGCGCCTGGGTATGTCTTCGCCTTTCGTGAGAGTGGCATTTCCCTGCGGACGATGACATGGTTTTGCAGCTTTGTTGAGATAACTGTACACATTCACATGGGCAGCCTGATCATTCTTAACATGTGCATGTGTCCCTGCAGCCGGTACCACAGTCATGATGGTGAGTGTGTCCTCCACCCTGTTAGTCTGCCGGGGCTGCCGTAACAAACAGACTGTAACAGACTGGGCGGCTGAAGAAACACATGCTTATTGTCTCTCAGTTCTGGAGGCTGGAAGGCATCAAGGTGTGGGCAGGGCTGGTTTCTTCTGAGGCCTCTCCCTTGGGCTGCAGATGGCCCTCGTCATCCCTCTGTGCATGTCTGTGTCCTAATCTCTACTTAACACCTGTCCTTCTGGATCAGGGCCCACCCTATGGCCTCCTTTTTCGTTGGCTTTTTATTGGAGACAGAGTCTTGCTCTGCCTCCTAGGCTGGAGTGCAAGTGGTGTGATCTTGGCTCACTGCAACCTCTGCCTCCCGGGTTTAAGCAATTCTCCCACCTTAGCCTCCCAAGGAGCTGGAATTACAGGTGCCCGCCACCAAGCCTGGTTACTTTTTTTGTGTTTTTAGTAGAGACGGGGTTTTTACCATGGTGGTCACGTTGATCTCAAACGCCTGACCTCATGTGATCCAACCACCTCAGCCTCCCAAAGTGCTGGGATTACAGGCGTGAACCACCGAGCCCAGCCCTGTTTTTTTGGGGGGAGATAGAGTCTTGCTTTGTCACCCAGGCTGGAGTGCAGTGGCGCAATCTTGGGTCACTGCAACCTCTAGCTCCTGGATTCAAGTAAATCTCCTGCCTCGGCCTCCCAAGTAGCTGGGATCATAGGCACACGCCACCACGCCTGGCTAATTTTGGTGTTTACAAAAATTAGAAATGGGGTATCACCATGTTGGACCAGGCTGGTCTCAAACTCCTGGCCTCTGGTGATCCTCCCACCTTGGCCTCACAAAGTACTGGAATTACAGGTAAGAGCCACCACCCTGGCTTTTGTTTTTTGAGACAAGATCTGGCTCTGTTGCCCATGGTGGAGTGCAGTGGCATGACCTTGGCTCATTGCAACCTCTACCTCCTCGGTTTAAGCGATTTTCCCACTTCAGCCTCCTGAGTGACTGGGACCACAGGCGCCACTATGCCCAACTAATGTTTATATTTTTTGGTAGAGATGGGGTTTTTCCATGTTGCCCAGGCTGGTCTTGAATTCCTAAGCTCAAGCGATCCACCTGCCTCAGCCTCCCAAAGTGCCAAATTATAGGCGTGAACCACCATGCCTAGCCGAATACTGTATTTTCAATGTGCATTTGGCTGCGGATTTGGAATCTGCTAATGTGGAGGGATTATATGTATATTTTTTGAGATGGACTTTTGCTCTTGTCACGCAGGCTGGAGTGCAATTGCAGTGGCAAGATCTTGGCTCACTGCATGCAACCTTCACCTCTGGGGTTCAAGTAATTCCCCTGTTTCAGCCTCCCGAGTCGCTGGGATTACAGGTGCATGCCACCATGCCTGGCTAATTTTTGTATTTTTAGTAGAGACAGGGTTTCACCATATTGGCCAGGCTGGTCTCAAACTCGTGACCTCAGGTGATCTACTTGCCTGGGCCTCCCAAACTGTTGGGATTACAGGTGAGCCATTGTGCCCGGTCAAGGGATTATATTTATTGAAAAAAGCTCCATGTATGAGTGGACCTACACAGTTACCCAAGGGTCAGCTGTAAATCACTTATTTAAAATGCATTATTCGGCCGGGCACGGTGGCTCACACCTGTAATCCTAGCACTTTGGGAGGCTGAGGTGGGTGGATCACCTGAAGTCAGGAGTTCAAGATCAGCCTGGCCATCATGGTGAAACCCCATCATTTTAAAAAAATGCATTATTCAACGCTTTTTAATATAGTCACAAAATTGTGCAGCCACTACCACAGTCAAGTTTAGAACATTTTAGTCTCTCTCCAAAATACCCTGTACCCATTAGCAGTGACTCTCCGTTCCCCGCTCTCCCCAGCCCCTGACAAACCGCTAATTTACTTCCTATATCTATGGATGTGTCTGTTCTGGACATTTCAGCCTTTTTTTTGTTTTGTTTTTTGAGACAGACAGGGTCTTAGTCTGTCACCTAGGCTGGAGTGCAATGGCGCAAGCTCCGCTCCCTGCAACCTCTGCCTCTCTGGCTCAAGCAGTTCTCCCACTTCTGCCTCCTGAGTAGCTGGAATTATAGGTGTGTGCCACCACGCCCAGCTAATTTTTTGTATTTTTAGTAGAGAGGGGGTTTTACCATATTGGCCAGGCTGGTCTCCAACTCCTGACCTCCAGTGATCCACCCACTTTGGCCTCCCAAAGTGTTGGGATTACAGGCATCAGCCACCTTTTTTTTTTTTTTTCTGAGACAGAGTCTCACTGTGTCGCCCAGGCTGGAGTGCAGTGGCATGATCTCAGCTCATTGCAGCCTCCCCCTCCCGGGTTCCAGCCATTCTTGGGCCTCAACCTCCTAAATTGCTGGGATTACAGGCGCGTGCCACCACGCCCAGCTAAGTTTTGTATTTTTAGTACAGATGGGGTTTCTCCATGTTGACTAGGCTGTTCTCCAACTCCTGACTTCAAGTGATCCACCCGCCTGGGCCTCCTAAAGTGTTGGGATTGCAGGCATGAGCCACCATGCCCGACCTGTTGTTTTTTTTTTTTTTGGAGGGGGGACGGAGTTTTGCTCTTGTTACCCAGGCTGGAGTGCAATGGAGCGATCTCGGCTCACCGCAACCTCCGCCTCCTGGGTTCAGGCAATTCTCCTGCCCCAGCCTCCTGAGTAGCTGGGATTACAGGCACGCACCACCATGCCCAGCTAATGTTTTGTATTTTTAGTAGAGACGGGGTTTCACCATGTTGACCAGGATGGTCTCGATCTCTTGACCTCGTAATCCACCCGCCTCGGCCTCCCAAAGTGCTGGGATTACAGGCTTGAGCCACCGCGCCCGGCTGTTGTTTTGTTTTTTGAGACAGAGTCTCGCTCTGTCACCCTGGCTGGAGTGCAGTGGTGCAGCCTCCACCTCTGCCTCCCAGGCTCAAGCACTTCTTCTGCCTCAGCCTCCCAAGTAGCTGGGACCAAAGGCACGGGCCAGCACACTTGATTGATTTTTGTACTTTTAGTAGAGACGGGGTTACACTATGTTGGTCAGGCTGGTCTCGAACTCCTGACCTCAGGTGATCTGCCCGCCTCCGCCTCCCAAAGTGTTCGTATTTAGATGTGAGCCACCGTGCCTGGCCTCTTTTCACTTTTTTGATGGTGACCTTTGTGCCACAAAAGTTTTAAATTTTGATGAAGTCCAATTTATCTTTTTTTTTTTCCTTTGTTGCTTATGATTTTGGTATCATATCTAAGAAACTATTGCCTAATCCAAGGTCACAAAGATTTATGCCTGTTTTTTCCTAAGAGTTTTTATAGTTCAAGCTCTTACAGTTAGGTCTTTGATTTATTCTGAGTTGCCTTAGGGTTTATGGCATGTACCTTAACTTTGTCAATCTACTCTTAAAAGAGCATACTTTTATTTTACCCTTTAAACCTTCATTTTGTGTTATTATGCGTTTTACTGTTACATGTTATAAATCCACAGCACATCATTGCTGTTTTTGTTTAAGATATGCTGAAGTAGTGGGAGAAAATCTCACATACTCTCCCATGTATTTCTGTGCTCTTCATTCCTTTGTGAGGATCTGGTAATTTTCTTCTGCCTTAAGGATGTTCTTTAGCAGTTCTTGTAATATGACTCTTGTGGTAATGAATTCTTTCAGCTTTTTTTTGCCATCTTTTTTTTTTTTTTTTTGAGATGGAGTCTCGCTCTGTAGCCCAGGCTGGAGTGCAGTAGTGCCATCTCGGTTCACTGCAACCTCTGCCTCCCGGTCCCAGTTCAAGCAATTCTCCTACCTCAGCCTCCCAAGTAGCTGGGATTACAGGCACGAGCCACCATGCCCAGCTAATTTTTGTATTTTTTAGTAGAGACGGGATTTCACCATGTTGGCCAGTCTGGTCTTGAACTCTGGACCTCGTGATCCGCCCGCCTCGGCCTCCCAAAGTGCTGGGGTTACAGGCTTGAGCCACTGTGCCCGGCCCTTTTTTTTTTTTTTTTTTTTTTTCTGAGACGGAATCTTGCTCTGTCTCCAGGCCAGAGCATACTGGCGCGATCTTGGCTCACTGCAACCTCTGCCTCCTGGGTTCAAGCAATTCTTCTGCCTCAGCCTCTGGAGTAGCTGAGATGACAGGCACCTGCCACCACACCTGGCTAATTTTGTATTTTTAGTAGACACAAGCTTTTACCATGTTGATCACGCTGGTCTCGAACTCCTGACCTCAGGTGATCTGCCTGCCTTGGCCTCCCAAAGTGCTGGGATTATAGACATGAGCCATTGCACCCGGCCTGCTGTGTTAACTTCTATAAGTCAGAAGTTTGATGCGACCGAGTTCAAGGTTGAGATAACCCAGAGCCAGGACAAGTTGCGAGCTATTTCTAAGGCCTTAGACTTCCTACTGGGAGCGTCGCAGTCCCTTCTAGACAGAGGTCTGGAGAAGGTGGGTCATCTGGAGAGAAGTGACCTAAACTGTCCTAGTTGAAGGGACCTATCCTGGAAACTCATCACTGAAGGAATTAAAATGAGAAATTTAAGGGGAAGGAAAAAAAATAAATTGTTTTAAATTTTAAAGAGTGGGTGGGCATGTGGGAGAGGGGGTGGAGATAGTTAAGAGTTACAGGAAAACATTTCCAATGAATATGAGGAAGCATTTTGTACTGGGAGAGTTCCCACAATTAAATGGCCACTTGGGAAGGCAGTACATTCCCAGACAAAGGTACCAGGCCTAGGTGAGCACTTGGTGAGGATGTTATGGAGACTCAGACCTAAGGTGAGTAGGTAGAACACATTGCATATAAGATCCTTCCCAGCCGGGCGCGGTGGCTCACACCTGTAATCCCAGCACTTTGGGAGGCCAAGGCGGGTGGATCACCTGCGGTCAGGAGTTTGAGACCAGCATGGCCAACATGGTGAAACCCATCTCTACTAAAAATACAAAAAAATTAGCCTAGCATGGTGGTGCATGCCTGTGATCCCAGCTACTTTGGAGGCTGAGGCAAGAGAATTGCTTGAAACCTGGAACAGAGGTTGCAGTGAGCCGAGATTGTGCCCGTGCTCTTCAGTCTGGGAGACTGAGAAGTAGCTACCATACGGTGCAAGCTGGGATGCATCAGAGGTTTATACAACCACCCTGAAGTCGAAGGAAGGAGAGAGAACTTTCGGTAGCGAGTAGTCGGGGAAAAAGTGACCCAAAGGTCTGGGATCTAGAACAATGAAGAAGGAACAGTGTTCTGTGAGGAAGGTTTGTTTTTCACAAGTTAATTTCTTCAGCAAACCATCTGAATACTTAATGTTGTCCAAGCTCTGGGCCAGGACCCAGAACAACAAACAAACCAGGTCAAAAGCCCCTGACTCACGGAGTTGTTTAGTTTCGTTACCGAGACAGACACTTGAGCAGATAGTTTATCGTATGTGGTAAGGTGGAGATAGGGCACAGAACTGAGGCATCTAACCAAGGAAATAAAAAGAACAAAATATGGACTAGTTCGAATGCCTGTTTTATTGATCTTTTCTGCTGATTCTGGCGTCTGTGTTACTTCCTAGTCCATCTCCATTGACTTGACTTTTTCCCCCCTATGTAGGTTTATTTTCCTGCTTCTTTGTGTGACTGGTAATTTTTGGTTGAATGGCAGACGCTTGAATTCACCTTGCTGGGTTCTGGAGATTTTTGTATTTCTAGAAATATTGAGCTCTGTTCTGGGATGCAGTTAAGTTATTAAGAGTCAGTTTGACCCCTTTGGGTTTTCTGCAAAAGATTTCTTAGGTGTGTTTGGAGCAGTGCCCAGTCCAGGGCTAATTATTCTCAACTACTGAGGCATGACCCAATGCCCCAGGAATAATATGCTTTTCCCAGTCTGGCTTCTGGGAGCAGGCAGTGTCCCCTGCCCTGTGTGGGCACTGCGCCCTCCAGCCCTTCCAGGTCGTTCTGTCCCTGCTCTCGGTAGCTTCCCAAGACACATGCGCCAATCAGGTCTCCCAGAGCCTCTGGGCAGCGGCCCCTCCCCGTCTTCTCTGCGTGACCTCTGGCTGCCTCAGTCTCCCCAGGCTCTCAGTCCTCTCCTGCGCTGGCCTCTCCCCAGCCTCCCCCGGCCTGCAGCACTGGGTCCTGGAGACTCCCCAGGGCCCACCGTGTTTGTTTCCCTTCTCTCGGGTCCTTTGTTTCCTGATGTCCAGTACCTCAAAGCCTGTTGTTTCCTGCATTTGACCTGGGTTTTGGGTTGCCTCAGGGGAGGGTAAATCTGGGCACTGCTGCTCCATCATGGTCAGGTGTGGGAGTTGGACGCTGGCTTTTTGTTTTTTTTGAGATGCTGTCTTGCTCTGTCACCCAGGCTGGAGTGCAGTGGCACAATCTCGACTCACTGCAGCCTCCACCTCCCAAGCTCAAGCCATCCTCCCACCTTAGCCTCCTGAGCAGCTGGGACCACAGGTGCACACCACCACACCCAGCTAATTTTTGTATTTTTTGTAGAGACGGGGTTTTGCTGTGTGGCCCAGGCTGGTCTCGAACTCCTGGGCTCAAGACACCTGTTTCCCTTGGCCTCCCAAAGCATTGAGATACCAGATGTGAGCTCCTGCACCTTGTGGACATGGGCTTGTTGTTTTTTTTTTTTGGGATGCAGTCTTGCTCTGTCACTCAGGCTGGAGCATAGTGGCGCTATCTCGCTCACTGCAACCTCCGCCTCCTGGGTTCAAGCAATTTCTCTGCCTCAACCCCCTGAGTAGCTGGGATTATAGGAGCCACCATGCCCTGCTAATTTTTGTGTTTTTAGTAGAGACAGGGTTTCACCGTGTTGGCCAGGCTGGTCTTGAACTGACCTCAGGTGATCTGCCTGCCTGGGCCTCCCAAAGTGCTGGGGTTACAGACGTGAGCCACCGCGTCTGGACGACATTAGGTTTTTGAAGGCCAAGGCCTGAGCTTTTAAATTGAGCCGGGGAATCCCAGTATTCCTTCAGTGAGCAAAATGGATTTTTAAAATGAACTCTTACAAAACTTTGTTCTAATCTTACTTTATGATAGCCATGAATCGAACACATTCCGTGGCATTTTAGGGTTCATGAGATTTACACATACCCTGGGGTCAGTTGAATCCAGGGCCTGAAGTTTGCCAATGTAGTGCCCAAGCCCAGCCGAAGGGAAGCTTGAAATTAGCCCTGGCTAATTTTTTTTTTTTCTTTTTTGAGATGGAGTCTTGCTCTGTCGCCCAGGCTGGAGTGGGGTGACGCGATCTTGGTTGACTGCAACCTCTGCCTCCTGGGCTCAAACGATTCTCCTGCCTCAGCCTCCTGAGTAGCTGGGATTACAGGCACGTGCCACCATGCCCAGCTGATTTTTTGTATTTTTAGTAGAGACGGGGTTTCACCATGTTGACCAGGATGGTCTCGATCTCTTGACCTCGTGATCCACCCGCCTCGGCCTCCCAAAGTGCTGGGATTGCAGGCGTGAACCACCGCGCCCGGCCCCAGCTACTTTTTTAATTTTTATTTTTTTATTGTACTTTGGCTCTGGGGTACATGTGCACATCCTGTATCCTGCAGGATTGTCGCGAAGGTACATATATACCGTGTTTGTTTTTAGTGGAGATGGGTTTTACCATGTTGGCCAGGCTGGTCTCGAACTCCTGACCACAGGTGATACAGCTGCCTCGGCCTCCCAAAATGCTGGGATAACAGGTGTGAGCCCCCATGCCCGGTCTTGGCTAATGGTTTCTGAGTTGGCCTCAGAACTGGTGGCCCTGGGTGGCTCCACTGATGGCCAGTAGGGTAGCTGGGTGGCTCCGCAGCAGGAAGTGTGGTTTGGAGTCAGGTCTTGGCTCACACTCTGGGGCTGGCCCACCCTGGGGCTGCTGTGTTACTTCTGAGCTTTGGTGTCCTGGTCCTGAGGGTGAGGCAGCCAGTACCCATCTAGGGCTGGGCTGGGAAGGGGGCAAGGGAGAACCTCTGAGTCAGGAGCCATTCTCAGTGGGGTGGCTACCTGGGGAATGCCACCCAGGGATGCTTGGGTGGGCACTGGACTTGTGTGGCACTGCAGATGCCAGCAGCGTGAGGGGTGGGTGGTCCAAAGGCTGCAGGCCCAGAGAGGTCTGAGGGTTCCTGCCTGTGGGCAGCGCACCTGGGTGGGCAGTGGCAGCAGGAGGCTGAGAGACTCAGTGCAGAGCCAGCAGGTGGCACAGGTCAGCCGGCCGGAGCGCCGAGGCAGATCAGGGGCCCCAGCATCGCACCACTTAGCCTCTGTGGGCAGCCGCAGGCCCAGGCCCTGCCCGTGCTCTTGCGGACCTCACAGGCCCCGAGGAGCACCTGTTCTCATCGGGTCCTGAGCTGGCTCCTCCGTGCTCACCTGCTGCTCTCCTTATCCTTTCAGCTGCCCAGCTGGGAAGGAAGGTGGCCGTGGTAGACTATGTGGAACCTTCTCCCCGAGGTAGGCAGCACCTATGGGAGCCGGATGTCCTGGGGAAGGAGTGGGGAGGTGGGCCTGGTTCCTGTACAGAGGGCAGCTGACGCCAGAGTCCCTCAGCCCTGCTATCCATGGTCCCTGGACAGTGTCCTGTTTCATACATCATTACTTTAAAGTTCTTCACCATTCTCAAAAACAACTCTGGCCAGGTACAGTGGCCCACACCTGTACTCACAGCACTTTGGAAGCCAAGGCAGACCTTGATCACTTGAGCCCAGGAGTTTGAGGCTGCAGTGAGCTATGATTGCACCACTGCACTCCAGGTTAGATGACAGAGGTGAGAACTAAATTTTTTAAAAAATTGAAACAGTCTCGCTCTGTTGCCTAGGCTGGGGTGCAGTGGCATGATCTCGGCTCACTGCCAACCTCTGCCACCCGAGTTGAAGCAGTTCTTGTGCCTCAGCCTCCTGAGTAGCTGGAACTACAGGTGTATGCCACCACTCCTGGCTAAATTTTTGTATTGTTAGTAGAGACGTGGTTTCTGCCACGTTGACCAGGCTGGTCTCAAACTCCTGACCTCAGGTGATCCGCCCGCCTCGGCCTCCCAAAGTGCTGGGATTACAGGTGTGAGCCACCGCACCTGGCCTATTTTTATTTTTCATTAAAATTCGTATGGCATGTCAGCTGGCCCTGTTAAGAGTTACAGAACAACTTCAAGGAATTCCAAACGCCCTAGAAGAACAGGGAAGTCTCCAGTAGTCACCTGAACGTAAATTCAAATGTGCTCTTCTCCCGGGTGTCTCAGGCACCCGGTGGGGCCTCGGCGGCACCTGCGTCAACGTCGGCTGCATTCCCAAGAAGCTGATGCACCAGGCGGCGCTGCTGGGGGACCTGATCCGAGACGCCCCCCATTACGGCTGGGAGGTGGCCCAGCCCGTGCCGCATGACTGGTAAGGACCCGGTGCCGTGGCATTTGGGTGCTTTTCTGCTACTCTTGGGTGGAGGAGGAAGAGGAGGCTTATCTTCTGTGAACCTTCACAGGGAGTGTGCTGTAGGATGGATTTCTTAGCCAGGGGTGACTCCGTGCCCTCTGCCTCTGACATCTGGGAATGTCTGGAGACAGTTGTGGTTGTCACTGGGGAAGGGTTTGCTCCCCTCCTCAGGGGAGCCCAGGGATGCTGCTGCCATGCACAGCGCAGCCCCACCAAGAACAGTTCATCTCCAAGGCCAGGAGTGCAGGGTGGGAGGCCGCTTCGGCTGGGTTCTTTTGGGAAGGGGACCATGTGGCCCAGCACACAGACACCCACAGTAGCTCAGGTAGGCCACTGCTTGCAGGGGATAGCCTTTGGGGCACAGAGCAGCTGCATCTGGATAGCTGTGGGTCACAGCCCCTGTTTTCTGTGAGTCCAAAAGTCCACAGCCCCAAGCCCGGGACAGGTGGTGGCTCTTAGGGATGGATGTCATGTTTTGCCACCTTTAAAAGCACTCTTGTTTTTTGATACTTCTATTAATGTACATCTGAATCTTTTTTTGTTTTCTTTTGTTTTTTGTAAAGATGAGATTTCACCATGTTGGTCAGGCTGGTCTTGAACTCCAGACCTCAGGCGATCTGCCCGCCGTGGCCTCCAAAGTGCTTGGATTACAGGCATGAACCCCTGCGCCCACCTGTACATCTGAATCTAATCGTCCATGGTGAGACTCTGCAGCTAACACCTGTGTTGTGCTTTTATATTTTGTTTTGTATGTTCACAGGAGGAAGATGGCAGAAGCTGTTCAAAATCATGTGAAATCCTTGAACTGGGGCCACCGTGTCCAGCTGCACGACAGGTACTGAAGCTCCCTCGGGGAGTGGGCTGCCCTCTGGGCATTTTCTTGGGCGTTTTGTGCCTGGACACACACTTACTGACTGTGCAGAGCACGCCCTGGCAGGCTCTGGGGGTTCAGGTCCCTGCTCGTGGGTGGAGATGAGGACAAGGAGTGGGTGGGAGTGACTGCAGGGGAAGGGGAGTCTGCCTTCTGCTGCTGAGCAGAGCCTGGAGGTGCCAAGGAATGAGTGAGGCCACACTGGCAGAATGGCTGGAGCCCAGGGCTGCATAGGGAGGAGGCACTTGGGGCTGGAAGGCCTCAGGCCAGAGAGCATGGACATGGCTGAGCCTGGGGCTGATAAGTGGTGAGGGCCATCCCAGTAGTGAGCCTCCACCCCGTGAACCCCCTCTTACTACACAGCTCCACTCCTTGGGTATGGCTGCAGGGCCCTGGTGCTTTCTACTGGAGCAAATGTCCTTATCTGGTCATCATTCCTGTCAGCTCCTGGGGGATCCCCAGTGCAGAGGCCAATGCTCCCACGGACTGCAGCCTCCTCCTGGGGCTCAGCTGCCAGCATAGCAGGTGCCTGAATCTAGCACTGCCTCAGGCCCAGGCTTTCTCCCAGGGCTGTGGCCCTGCCTGTGCCCCATGGGCCGTGGAGGGGACACTGGTCCTGCAGAGGTCTGATGGCTCTTCTCGTGCACCATTTGCCTGGCTCCAGGGGGATCTTCTTGGGGCTTCACAGCAGGGAGCAGTTTTGTGTCCATTAAATCCAGGAAAGCAGAGCCAGGAAGCCAACTGCTTGCCCTTTACCTGGGCCTCACGAGCTCTCCCCCTATCCAGGGAGCTAAGCCACATTGTGTTGTGGAGTTTCTGCGTTTCTCTGTGGGGATCTGTATCACCCGGTACAGTTTCTTGGGGGCAGCAGGCTTTGCCCTCTTTCCTCCCTGCCCTATGCAGCTACTGGGCAGGCACCAAACAGACCCAGCCTACTGCCTGCCCCAGAGCCGCCTGTATAAGGAGGCCGGGGCGCACTTTGGCTCTTTCTGCTTTTTCACTCTTCTGTAAAGTGCTGCCATGAGCATCGTGCGGCTGTGTCCCGGAGCCACTTCCTGGCCGTCGAGGAAGCCAGCCCTGTGATTGAAGGGTTCTTGCTGCAAGAGCTTCACACGGCTTAGACGGCGCAGGCTTGTGGGTGGGGAGAAGGCAGCCTCAAGCAGCGGGGGAGCCTTCCCAGAACCCTTGCTGCAGCACGGCCTTTCTGTCATTAGGTGGTGTTGGCCGGGTGCGGTGGCTCATGCCGGTAATCCCAGCACTTTGGGAGGCTGAAGTGGGAGGACCACTTGAGCCCAGGAGTTGGAGACCAGCCTGAGCAACATAGTGGGACCCCCATCCCTACAAAAATAAAACGAACTAGCCAGGTGTGGTTGCCCATGCCTGGAGTTCCAGTTACTTGAGAGGAGGCTGCAGTGAGCTATGATCGTGCCACTGCACCCCAGCCTGGGTGACAGAGAGCAAGGCCCTGTTTCTAAAAAAAATAAGGACGGGGTGTGATGGCTCATACCTGTAATCCTAGCACTTTGGGAGGCTGAGGTGGGTGGATCACCTGAGGTCAGGAGTTCAAGACCAGCCTGGCCAACATGGCGAAACCCTGTCTCTTCTAAAAATATAAACATTAGCTGGAATAGTGGTGCAAGCTGTAATCCCAGCTTCTTGGGAGTCTGAGGCAAGAACTGGGGCAAGAGAATGTTTGAACCTGGGAGGTAGAGAGGTTGCAGTGAGCCGAAATCATGCCACTGCACTCCAGCCTGGGTGACAGAGTGAGACTCTTGTCTCAAAAAAAAAAAAAAAAAGCAGCGTAGGTCATTGGTTCTTGTGCACCATGCACCCAGCCACCGTTTCGCCAGCCTTGTCATGCCCATTCTCTTGGTGTCACCGCACCCCTGAAGGCAGAACGTCATGCCAGCTGGTGGGTGCCACAGCTCCCTGCTGGAACATGTCTAGGTGATGACGACTGTCCCCAAGAGAGGTCCGGCCACCCCTCGCTGCACACCAGGGCTGTACGTGGCCTGTCAGGACTGTGCTGAGTTGGCCTCTGTCCCTGCTTGGACACCTGTGGTTAACATGTCCCTGGGATCCCTGGGGGACAGGCGAGTGCCCCCACATCCCCTCCATGCTTCTCAGTGTGGTGGCCACTGGCCCCGCCTGAGCCATAGCACTAGGCCCTGCTGGAGGCTGGAGCTCCCTTTTACCCTTGCTCCCTGTTTGATCCAGTTGGTGAGGTTTAATTTGCAGAGGAAATGTTTGAAAACCTAATCTTTATCTTTCAGAAAAGTCAAGTACTTTAACGTCAAAGCTGGCTTTGTCGACGAGCACACAGTTCGTGGTGTTGCCAAAGGTGGGAAAGAGGTGAGTCTCTGACTCACTTGCTGGCCCCTCGTGGACCCTTCTGCAGACCTGGGGCACCAGCTGCAGCTGTGTTTGTCCTGGGTGCTGTCCTCAGTAACACGTGCTGTTGGAATTGAAAAGATGGCTTCCTTTGAGGCTGGGCATGTGTCTTTAAAATGATCAAATACTTTGCTGCCCTGCTTCTCGGAGTGACATGGCAACGGGGTTTATGACCACAGCCTGTTTGCAGGATTTTGTGAGGATTTGAGGGTGCTTAGTACACCACGAAGTGGTTGGAGTTAGGACGTCCGCCTGTCCTTTTTGCCTGTCCGCCTCCCACCCAGCTGCCTGTCGATGGGATTCCAGCTCCGTGGGGCCTCTGAACTGCTGGCCGAGGCTCCACGTTGCAGGGCAGGGGCCGTGGGAACTGCTGGCCAGGGTCTGCGGTGCTCGGGCCCTCTGGTGCGTGGCCACTATGCATCTGTCTGACCTACGGCGTTCCCTTTCTTCTCAGATTCTGCTGTCAGCTGACCACATCGTCATCGCTACTGGAGGGCGGCCGAGGTACCCCGCACACGTGAGTGTCCCCAGAGTGCAGCATCCCTGCTGCACTGGCCCATCCCCGGGCGCTTTGAGGGATGCACTTTTACACACGCGCTTTCCACACCAGCGGCTTGCACACTCTTTTCCCTTATACTCACTGTCATCACTTTCTGCTTTCCAGTTCTCTTGAATCCACACTGCTGAAATGTGGGGTCCCCAGTGGCCTCCACGCTACCAGATCCTCAGGACGGACAGCTCTTGTTCTGTTCTCCCCCTGGGCCCTGCTGGATGCATCCCCTTCCATCCCGCCTCCTACTTCCTCAGTTTCCATTGCTGATTCCCCTTTTCCCTTCAGCCTCAGAATGGTTGGAACGTTCAGGATATAAGCCTCATTCCTCATCCTCCTTCTCCTCCCCAAATTTAAAAAAAGTTTGAAATAAAATCCACACGCTATAAAATTCAGACTTTTATAGGGTACAATTCAGTGGTTTTTAGTACATTCACAGAGCTGTGCGGCCATCAGCCACCATCATCCATTGCCAGAACTCCTTCCATCGTCCCGAACTGAAATTCTTTTCCCATTAAACCTAACTCCCCAGCACCTCCTCCCCCAGCCGCTGGCAACCACCACCTACTTTCTGTCTCTATGAATTTGACAACACTAAGCACCTCGTGTGAGTGGAATCGTACTTGTAAGTCCTTCTCATGTAACTGGAATCGTACGTGTGTCTTTTCGCGACTGGCTTACTTCACTGAGCGTAACATCCTCCAGGTTCACCCACATTGTAGTGCTTGTCAGTATCTTGTCAGTATCATTCCTTTTTATGGCTAGATACTATTCCGTTGTATGGATAGACGACATTTTGTGTATCCGCCTGCTCGTGGATGAACACAGGGATTGTTTGCACTTTTTAGCTGTTATGAATAGTGCCGCTGTGAGCATCTGCACAGAAGCCTTTGGTGGACTTCAGTTTTCACTTCTCTTGGGTTACACCTAGGAGCAGAACTGCCGTGTCACGTGGTAGCTTTATGTTGACCCTTTCAAGGAACCTCAGACTGTTTTCCAAAATGACTGCATTTCACATTCCTTCCAGCAGTGTATGCGGGTCTTGGTTTCTTGTTTCTTCATGTATCTTGTAATTTTTTTTTGAGACGGAGTTTCGCTCTTGTTACCCAGGCTGGAGTGCAATGGCGCGATCTCGGCTCACTGCAACCTCCGCCTCCTGGGTTCAGGCAATTCTCCTGCCTCAGCCTCCTGAGTAGCTGGGATTACAGGCACATGCCACCATGCCCAGCTAATTTTTTGTAGTTTTAGTAGAGACGGGGTTTCACCATGTTGACCAGGATGGTCTCGATCTCTTGACCTCGTGATCCACCTGCCTCAGCCTCCCAAAGTGCTGGGATTACAGGCTTGAGCCACCACGCCCGACCGTATCTTATAATTTTTTAATTGAAAGCTGAACCTTTCGAATAATTTCTAGTGGTAACTTTGGAAACCAGATTCTCCCTCTGCCCCAGGAGTCTGTTGTTTCAGCCGCTTAGCTGGTGACTTTTTGGAACTGACTTTGTAGACTCTTATTCTTTGTTGGATGTGGCCACTGATGTCTCTACTTGTTTAGCTTAGTGGTCAGCCAATAACTGCATGGAGATTTCTCTAAACCAAGGATTCTCCGGGTCTTTGCTGAGGGGTCCATGTGCATTCGGAGGGGATGCCTTCCACACTCAGCAGGCAGCAGGCAGCTCTTCCCTAGCCTTCACCTCCTGCCTGTGCAGAGGGCAAGGTCAGCAGGAGGTGAGGCCTCAGGGCCTCTTGGGTCCCTCCTGATGTGTGCACAGTGCTGTGTGTGCGCCTGGCCTGGGTTCCCAGGAATATGCTGGAGCTTTGCAAAGCTCCAGTGGACGTCCCATGCCTCGGCTTTTCCTTTGAAGCTTTTTGGGCAGTCTGTTGTTGGCTCCAACTGTTACCCATCCCCCAGGCAGCTGTGAGGAAAACCTCAGACAAATGCCCCCAGAGCGAGGCTTTTAGCCCTGGCTGAGCTCCAGTGAGGCTGGATACAGATGACCCTTTTTTTTTTTTGAGACGGAGTCGTACTCTTGCCCAGGCTGGAGTGCAGTGGCGCGATCTTGGCTCACTGCAACTCCTGCCTCCCAGGTTCAAGCAATTCTCCTGTCCCAGCCTCTGAATAGCTGGGACTACAGGCGCATGTCACTACACCCAGCTAATTTTTGTATTTTTTTTTTTTTTTAGTAGAGACGGGGTTTCACCATGTTGGCCAGGATGGTCTCAATCTCTTGACCTCATGATCCGCCTGCCTCAGCCTCCCAAAGTGCTGGGATGACAGGTGTGAGCCACTGCGCCTGGCCAAGATGACTCTTTTGAGGGGGTCTTCTGGGGAACCCTGGCAGGGTCAGATGCTGACTCTGACTCTTCTTTGGGAGGGGCTTTGAAAGACCCCAGCTGGGTTCTGCCCTCTCTGGCCGTTACTGTTCAGGGCTGCCGCTGAGGTCGGGGTAGGACCAGAGTGAGTGAAAACACCCTGGAGCTCCCGTTCTCACCCAGCTTCAGCTGTTTTTCCCGACTGAATGTTCCCTGTGTTGCTGCAAGCCTGTGGTTAATTTCCATAATTCTGAATCGCACAGTTTTTTGTCAGTGTTATCACTGTTTTTAACAGACTGGTGAATAACTCCTGGCCCAGTCTTGTGGGTTGTGGGGGGCAGAGTTGAGGAAGGGGCCCCAGGGTGGGGGGGGGTAGCTGCTGCAGGGAAAGCAAATGGGGTCTGAGGGTGGGCAGAGAGCTTTGGCCGAGGCCAGTCCTCACGGGTCTCCTGGGGCACCGGGTGCCGTCTGCTCTAAGCCTCTGAGTAGGCCGCAGCCAAGCTCTCGAAGACCACGGGTCCCTTGGTCTGGGCCACACCGCCTCTGACTTAGACCCGGGGCCGTCTGGTGGAGGCAGAGCAAGGGGAGGTTCTGCTGCTACTTGGATGTGACCCCAGCCTCCACTTCACCCTGTGCTTACTGGGGAAACAGGGAGAGGAGGGGCCCCGAGGAGCACGAGCACCCCCAGTTCTTAGAGGCTACGAGGCTTCTCTGGCCACTAGGCAGCCACAGGAGCCTCTATCGGGGGCAGGTTGCTTATGCACAGAGGGCTCGTGGCTGTGTGGCTCTGTAGGATGACACTGTGCTGCTCTTCAAGGCAGCTGCCGCAGACAGGGTCCAAGTGATCCCCGGACCTGGCAGCTGGGCTCATGGTGGTTCTGCTTAAAGAAGGTCACAGCCAGGTCCCAGGAGCCCAGTGGTCACCTGGGCTTCTCTGCGGCCCCGGGAGAGCTGCACATGGTCTGCACCGGGGAGCCCTGCAGAGGGGCCCTGGCCTGGCCCTGCTGTGCAACTCACAGGCAGCTGCCGCCGGCTCTGTGGGCCCACAGGGGAAGCATCAGGCGCTCCTGGTCCTGCGGGGCAGGCAGCTCAGGGCCGCTCCGCCCTCCCTGCCACGCCCTCCCAGGGTGCCTGCCAAGACTTGCTTGCGTTTTAGTCCCTTTGATTGCCAGACCTTTCGGTTTTCCTTGAGCAAACCTGAGAAATTCCTTTTTTTTTTTTTTTTTTTTTGAGAAATTCCTGACTTTATTTTTTTTGCCAATTGGAAGCATAAACTGTGAGATCCATTTCCTGCACCAGCACATCTTGTTCTCATGGCTGCTAAGGGGACGTTCACCCTGGGTCTCCCCACCTGCTTGGCCGCCCCTCTTCAGGTGACCTGTCTGATTTGAGAGTGTGAAGTCCGTCCTGGCTTCAGCCGGGTGCCCTCAGAGCTGCCCCTCAGGCCCTGCACACCTCAGCCCGTGGCACGCACACCCTGTGCCTCCTCTCCTCTCGCTGGCCTGGCAGCCCACCCCTGCTGCACAGACACACTTGAGCTCTGCTGGCCCTGATTGCTGACTCTCCCCGCTTCCCCTCTCTGAGCCTGGACCTCCCCAGAGCCCAGGTGCCGCTCCCTGGGGCTGCATGCCTCTGTCTGTGTGATATGTCTGTCCAGGACCCGGACAGACTTGAGGGGGCCAAGCTGTTGCCAGTGTGGCCCCTGCAGTTGTTGTGCCTACCTCAGGCTCTGTGTCCTGGTCTGGGGGAGGGTCTTGGGGAGCAGAGAGGAAAGGTATCCTGCGAGGGCGCCGGGCCCAGGAGCACAGCAGCTTAGATGCAGACAGGCCACCTGCAGCCCCAAAGAAGCCACAGCCTGCAGACAAGGACTGGCAGCAGGGAAGCCCTGTGCATGGTGCTCTGGGACGGCGCTGGCCGAGTCTGCAAAGCTGGCGTCCTCTGTAAGGAAGTCCCGGGGCAGGCCAAATGGAGCTTTCATCCCAGGGGTCATTTCTGTCTTGACAGATCGAAGGTGCCTTGGAATATGGAATCACAAGCGATGACATCTTCTGGCTGAAAGAGTCCCCTGGAAAAACGTAAGGCCTGTCGCATGCATGATGGGGTCCTCTCTGTTCACCAGAGTGAGCACTGGGCCCTGAGAGCCTGCGCTGCTGCTTGGCTCCTGGGGCTTTCTTTCCAGTTTACCCAAAAGAAGGAGAAAAGGCCTGTCGTTTGTGGCCAGGCACAGTGGCTCACGCTTGCTAGCTTAGCACTTTGGGAGACTGAGGCAGGAGGATTGGATTGCTAGAGGCCAGGAGTTCGAGATCAGCTTGGGTAATATAGTGAGACCTTGACTTTACAAAAATCTTCTTTTTTTTTTTTTTGAGACGGAGTTTCACTCTTGTTACCCAGGCTGGAGTGCAACAGCGCCATCTCGGCTCACCGCAACCTCCGCCTCCTGGGTTCAGGCAATTCTCCTGCCTCAGCCTCTTGAGTAGCTGGGATTACAGGCACGCGCCACCATGTCAAGCTAATTTTTTGTATTTTTTAGTAGAGATAGGGTTTCACCGTGTTGACCAGGATGGTCTCGATCTCTTGACCTCGTGATCCACCCGCCTCAGCCTCCCAAAGTGCTGGGATTACAGGCGTGAGAAATCTTCTTTTTTTGAGATGGAGTCTCGCTTTGTCACCCAGACTGGAGTGCAGTGGCTCAATCTCGGCTTATTGTAACCTCCGCCTCCTGGGTTCAAGCGATTCTCCTGCCTCAACCTCCCCAGTAGCTGGGAGCATAGGCGCCCACGACCTCGCGTGGCTAATTTTTGTATTTTTAGTAGAGACGGGGTTTCTCCATGTTGGCCAGTCTGGTTTTGAACCCCTGACGTCAGGTGATCTGCCCACCTCAGTTTCCCAAAGTGCTGGAATTATAGGTGCGAGCCACCACGCCCAGCCTACCAAAATCTTAAAAATATTGACCGAGCATTGTACTGTGCACCTGTAGTCCCAGCTACTTGGGAGGCTTAGGTGGGAGGATTGCTTGAGCCCAGGAGGTTGAGGCTACAGTGAGCTGTGATTGCACCACTGCACTCAGCCTGGGAGAGGGTGAGACCTTCTCTCAAAACAAACAAAATAATAAGCCTGTGACCTGTGCCCCTCTGAAGGGCCGTTGATGTCCTGTCTTGTGGCTTCCTTGGAGGTAATAACACGAATGCCATATAAAGGGAGTCAGCTGTTTGTTATCTAGGTCAGTCGTTGTCAAATGGGCTTCCCAGGAGCCCTGGGATTCCAGTGGGTCCCGTCAGGGACATCAGGGAGAACATTAAGGAGGGGAGAGCCGGCAATCCCTACCCCAGCCCTCATCTGACACCCTCACTGCCTTCTGGTTTGCACATTGGGTTTCCCTGAAATCTAGCAACAACATCTTGGTTGTGGAAGGGGGACTAGCAGCTTGCGAGTGGCTCTCACTCCCCGTGGGAGCAGGTGCAGAGTCCCTAATGCCTTCCGACGCCCACAGAGAGGCTATTCCGAGGTCCCAGGTCCAGGCAGCTCCCGTCTGTGGGGTGTGGAGACTTCATGCTGGCAGGGACCAGAGAGGCCACCAGAGGGCGGCAGAGGCTTGGTCAATAGCAAGGCTAGCTTGGTCTCTAGCCTTCCCCACCTCTGAGCGTGCCAGTATGTACATGGCGTACATGCACATGTGTGTGGTATGCACGTTTGCATGTGCACACGCGTGTGTGTGCGTGTGTGGTGTGTCACATGTTTTGCTTGTAATTATTTCACACTTCACAGGGTATCTTTGTGTGGGGTCGGGACTGGATTCCCTTGAATGGGAGTTGTGTAATTCCTTTGACCTTTCTCCTGTTAATGAGCATTTCAGTAGCTTCTTCGTCATTATCAATGCTGTAGTGAAAACCTTGGAGGTGCATCTCTTTAAACCATTGTAAGTGCTTCTGACACATTATCCCAATTATTCGTTGTGATAAAACACATAGTATAAAATTTACCACTTTATTATTATTTTTTTTTTGAGGTGCAGTCTCACTGTGTCGCCCAGGCTGGAGTGCAGTGCTGTAATCTCAGCTCACTGCGACCTCCACCTCCCAGGTTCAAGCGATTCTCCTGTCTCAGCCCGCTGAGTAGCCGAGACTACAGGTGTGTGCCACCACACCTGGCTAATCTTTTGTATTTTTAGTAGAGATGGCGTTTCACCATGTTGGCCGGGCTGGTCTCAAACTGCTGTCCTCAGGTGATCCACCTGCCTTGGCCTCCCAAAATGCTGGGATTATAGGCATGAGCCACCGCGGCCAGCCCACTTTAACGATTTTTAAGTACGCAGTTGAGTGGTATTAAATGTACTCATCAGGTCCTGAAACCATCACCACTATCCGTCTCTGGAACTCTTTTCATCCGTGTTGTTTCTGAGTTTCCTGAGTAATTCCATTGTACAGGCACACCGTATTTTGTTTATCCACTCATCTGTCGGTGTACACCCGAGTTGCCTCCGCTTCTTGGCTGTTGTGAATAGTGCCACTGTGAACATGGGCGTGCGAATACCTCTTAGAGACCTTACTTTCAATTCTTTTGGGTGCAAACCCAGAAGTGGCATTGCGGGATCATAGGGTCTGAGGACCTCTATCCTGTTTCCCGCGACGGCCGGACCATCTTCCGTTCTCACCAGCAGTTCAGGAGGACTCGGGTCCCCGCATCCTCGCCAGCACGATGTTTTCTGCTTTTCTTTCCTTCTTTAATTTTTATTTTTTCCTTTAAACTCCCTGGACTTGCTGTTTCCTGTGTTTTTGGCAGTGGCCATCCCAGTGGCTGTGAGGTGGTCTTACACACTTTACATCCCTGTCGGGGGTCTTTCCTAGAAGTAGAAAAGCTGAGTATGAGGGGAGCTGCCCTTTGATCATAACACATTTTGCTGACGGCCAGTCACACTGGTTCCATGTATATTCTGCACGCTTCCCCGTCCTTGGTAACTCAGGCATCTGCCTTTTGATTAGACACGAAACAGAAAGGAGCCTCTACTCCCATGCCCCTGGGCTGGGCCACGGTCACTGCTACCCATGGCGCACCCACACGTCCTGAGACTGTGCCGGGCTCGCCCTGGTTTCCATCGACTGCCCACTGCCCTCCCTTGGACCCCCGATTGTGGCTTGTCTTTGGAATTGGTGATACTATTTCATGCAGAAATTTTAAGTTTTTCTGTTGTCACAGCAGTCACTCTTTCCTGCTATGCCATAATTTCTGGGTTATCTGTTTATCTGTTTGTTTGTTTCTGTTTTTGTTTATTATCTTTAAGATAGTCTTTGCTCTGTCACCCAGCTGGAGTGCAGTGGTACAATCATGGCTCGCCGCAGCCTTGAAGTCCTGGATTCAAGCAATTCTCCTGCCTCAGCCTCCCGAGTAGCTGGGATTACAGGCGCCTGCTACCACACGCAGCTAATTACTGCTTTTTTATTATTTTATTTTATTTTATTTTATTATTATTTTTTTTTGAGACGGAGTTTCACTCTTGTTACCCAGGCTGGAGTGCAACGGCGCCATCTCGGCTCACCGCAACCTCCGCCTCCTGGGTTCAGGCAATTCTCCTGCCCCAGCCTCCTGAGTAGCTGGGATTACAGGCACGCACCACCATGCCCAGCTAATGTTTTGTATTTTTTAGTAGAGACGGGGTTTCACCATGTTGACCAGGATGGTCTCAATCTCTTGACCTCGTGATCCACCCGCCTCAGCCTCCCAAAGTGCTGGGATTACAGGCTTGAGCCACCGCACCTGGCCTATTTTTTAATTTTTTTATTTAGAGCAAGGACTCGCTGTGTGGCCCAGGCTAGCCTCGAACCCCTGGGCTCAAGTGATCGCCCTGGCCTCTCAAAGTGCTGGGATTACTGAGCTCCTGCACCTGAACTGGTTTTTCTCTTTGACTGTCTGCCGGGTTACACACGATCTGACTCTGTGCATTTGCTGTGATCGTGGTCTTTTCACTTACCGATGTGGAAAACTTCATTTCGCAGCCTTGTTTGAGATGAGCTGTGCAGGTCGCCAGCACGGTCCCTGCCCGCTTTCCTGTCTGGCTTTGCTCTGTCCTTGCCCTCCCGCTGGTGTGTGTATTAGGGATGTGATCCTCTGTCACTCGCGGTGCAGATTTTCTCAGCTTCCAACGTCTTTTAACTTGGGCAATGTACATGTAGTTTAACTTTTTTTTAAATGTAACTTAAGTCTTTTACACTTAATGGCTTTTTGATTTATTACATGTTCGGAAAGGCCTGCCCCACCCCCAAGATTTTTTTTTTTAAGCCCTGTATTTTCCTTATGGGCGTCCACAAGTTGGATTTTCTTTTACATCCTTGGGCTGGCTGCAGTTCTTCTGTGGTGTGGTGGAGATGGGCTGCCCGGGCCCCGGTGCCCGTCTTGAGGTCCTGTGCTCACCCGGCGTCCCGAGTCCTGCCAGTGGCTCTGGCTGTCTTTCACGTCGGCTTCTCTGGGTGGAGTCGATGCTTGTCCAGCCCCTGCAGGATGCTTTGTCTGCAGGGAAATGGCTTTGGATGTCCGGCAGCCCAAGGAAGTCTGCTGGGCCCCTCGGTGTGCTGGGGACTTCGGTCACTGCAGGCCAGCACTTTCTCCGTCCTGGTCACACCCGTTCCCCTCAGAGGCTGCCCACTTGGGGCTGGGGAAGCGGCCTGGCACTCTGGGTGCCCTGCCCCTGCTGTCTCCCCGGCAAGGTGGCTGGGGCTTGGGGAGTGCCACCCTGCAACCCCGTGCTGGGGGCAGCCGGCTCGGCCGGGAAGACACGGCCCCAGATATTTTGGTGGGGAAAGAAACTGCAGTGTTTATTTTCTTCAGAAAAAAAACATTTAGAAGATTTTTTTTTTAAGCTCTTTCGTTTAGAAGGAATCTAGGTATGTTATTGTTTAAGAAAAAAAGTGTTTGCAATGTATCAGTCACCCGTTTCGTTCTGAGCATGATTTATGTGAGGAAATGGTTTTTTTAAAAATTAAGCTGGAGATATATCCCTGTACGATGCTTCTGTGAAAATGCGGCTTTTGTCCGGCGCTGTTAATGCAAGTTGTAACAGTGTAATATGGGAGTCAGTGTTTAC